ATTGCTACACTGTGGAATAGAAAGATTTTTAACACTAACGAGATTAACATTCATGCAATATAAATAAGTCATGCCTAATTTCATAATCCAGTATATTTTTCATTGTTTGGTATTCTCTTAGTATAACGGTCAATTCTTTCAAGAAATCTGACTGGTATTCGAAATATTGCTGTTCCAGATGTTGAAGTTCAATTGTATGTAAATCAGACACAAAACTTTAAGCATAATGCAAAGTAAAGGAATAATTTTAAAAAATTCACCCGGTAAATCTTCAAGGTTAACACCTCTTTTAAGGTTACGTGCGCAACTGCAGTCATTCTGCTTTAAAATATGTACTCGACTTAGCTTTTTAGCGAAATAATTAAGTTACGGTTATTTGGACCTATTTCTAAATAAATTTAAACAACATTTGCTTTACCTTTCCCTTTTTCGTCACATCTTAATGTTCATCGTAATATCTATTTCCTAGAATTGTGACATATGTTTCGTTTGAAGATACAAACTACCCTTGAAATAAACTTATATTTCAAAAACATAAATATGATCAACATCTTTTTGTCACATCTTAATGATTATCTAATGTTAGCAGACCTATTTTGTATTCATATGAAGCAGAATTTTTTTTCAAAATCTTATACTTAAAGAACACTTATTCTGACCTTCAACTCGACATTTAGATATACAGACGACGTATTGTCAATGATCAATAGTTATTTCTATTCTTATGTCGATACAATGTACCTTCATCACCTGCATACGGAGTCTATATCTCTCAGTTGATTCGATACGCAAGAGCATGCTCTACGTATGTACAATTTTAAAAACGACGTAAATAATTAACAAAAAAGTAAATGAAACAAGAATATCAACAGTCTAATTTTAAGACATCATTTCGTAATTTCTATGGTCAATACAATGACCTTCTCAGCAAATACAATTTATCATTGAGTCAAAGGCTGACTGACGTTTTTCATACTTATTTTTGGTCCATTATTTATACACTGAATTGACGACGGAATTTTGCTCACTCCTCCATGGCATCTGATCCAACTCTGATGTTTCGGAGGTCCGTGTTTGTGCTCCTACTTTGTATTGTTTGATGGACTTTTGAGCGTGGATACTGTTCATCAAAATACTGTTCGTTATCTCCATATATTTCATCCTAATGTTGTGAGATATTTTTCATTTGATTCGAATATACCAATTACTACCTAAAGAAAGTTGTGCTGTCTAAAAGTTTCGGTCATTCCTCAATTTATACGTACATTTTAGAAATCAATACGGATAAATTTCACCAAATGTCACGTTTTGAAATGTAATGGGGCAGATAATAACAGGGCTTTTGCACAAAATCTTCATTTACAGCGTAGATTTTTGGAAAATGTATTTTTGCAATTTACAGCTGCCTTTAAACTTATTTTTAAGCTAAAAAAAAAACTACTTATTTAGATAGGAAAATCAAAGAAATCGTTATCATGGAAGAGTCTGAAGATAGCGATTGCGCTAGATTTCAGAATTATAACGTGAGGAGGGCATAACTATACACTGACCCCTGGAAATTCCTGAGCATAGAGAACCATATAAGGGATGAATACCTGGAACAGCAAATAAGGGGATGTATTTCATGTAATCACTTCTAAATTGTCAAAATAATTATATCATTCTCTACCTTATATAGTAATTTTGAAATGGCAGGTCAATTTTGCTACTATAACAGATGTTAAAAACTTGTATCAGTTTCTTCTTGATTGTTACCTGTTGCCAAATGCATGGCCTAAAGGAGATATTACTCATTGCTCTTCACCTTGTGCGTGTACCTTTATGTCTAAAAGACGTTATTGACAAAGAAGTCATGAAAAAGAAATGCAATTCCTAAAAACAGATGGAGTATATGAATGCGAGGGTGGTTTATAAATATCATCCGGTGATTTGATATTCTAGCATCATAACTATACGAAGAAAAAGATTCCTTTGAGAATTTGAGGCGTTTAGAAAGAGCGAAAAAAATTCATTGATTTTAATCAACTGATTTTATTATGTGTTGATCGCGGTGTTTAAAAATATTGATAATTTTTTACATGCAATTCTGAATGTTGGGCCATAATTTTATCAAGGTTGTGTCAAATTGAAAAAAAAAATGACTGTAATTCGAAGCATTCAATGTCAGCTTTAAGAATGTTAACATTATAACTCATTCACATGTAAGTGACAAAAACCAGTTGATGTTTTTTAGTTATAAAAGGGAGGGAAAGAAAATCAAGAGGATTTAGACAGGCAATCATATTATCAGAAATGCAACCTTCTGAATGAAATTGCGTGGTGTGACTGTTTTTTTTTTTTTGATTTTTAATCACAAAATAATCAACAGTGCTTTGAAAAGCCAAAAGCACAGCTCAGGCGTACATGTAATTCTTTGGTGGATTTGATACTGTTTAAAAGGAATGATTCAACTTTTGAAAGCAATTATGCTCAAAATATCGTAAAATTACACTGTATATTTGACACCTGAAAAGCGACATACTTCTAGTATAATTCTAGATTTTAAAAACCATGCATTAACGATTCCTATATTGCAGAAGAAGTAAATCAGGCGTGGTCATAGAGGGTATAAATATGACTTGTGTGTCAAATGTTCAGTAAACAACTCAATATCTAAACAAAAATCATATTAAAAGGAGGTATCTTACACTAAAAAGATATCTCGCCGATAACTCAATAACATATTCTATCTTATAAAACAAATAATAAATGTTTTTTCCTGTAATTGTAATATTTTTATGATTAATGCCCAGGAAAAAAATTGATTAATTTTCAATATTTTTATGAATTTTATCACTTTATCACTTGAGCCTACCACTGGAACATATTCTCTTTTCAGCCATGTTTGCGTTAATCGTCCAGGTCTAAATGTTGACCGGTCACCCCCGACATGATCGCTATAATAAGGCCCAACAATTGATATAAAACGGGTCAGACAAAATACGACCAAGTGATGGATTACATTTTTGCTCCTCCATGGCACCTGATCCCAACTCTGATGTTTTGGAGGTCCGTGTTTGCTCTGCTCCTTTTTATGTATTGTTTTATGGAATTTTCAGCTTGAATACTGTTTGTTATATCGATATATATCATGCTGACATTAAAATAAATTGTTGATACTCCTGCTACTTCAACTTATGTGTGAGTAGCCTGTTTTAGTTTGGGTAAAATTTGTTTAAAATTGATCATATTCCTGCCCTTGATTAGCAAATAGATGGAGACAAAATCACCTATGAAAGTGATAGCTCAGTATGTCCACATAAATTTGGGAAGTTGAAGATTGAAAAGCTGGTCATCTCGCTTGACATACAATTCATTGTTATTTAGCCTTTATCATCCATAGTCCGTAAAACATCCAAATATGAAACAGATGTGACAGGCTCGTGTCATTGGGATTATATCGAGATATATGAATGAAAATAACTCTTGTCAATTCATAGATCGCCGTCGATATATCTAATTGTCGAGGTGAATAGCATAACAAGTATTCTCTTCTTCTCATGTTGAAGTTTTTACAAAATTCTGCTTTATAGTAATACAAAAACAAATTGGCTTAAAAGGGAGAGCAATTTGTGTCCCATGGGACACCAATAGTTTATTAGAAGACGGTTTCAGGAAACTACATAAATGATGCGCTTCTGGATCAGCATCCTTTTCAAAATCAACTTCAGAATACTTGAATTTAGAATTCGAGTCATTTTTGACGGAGTTATTTTAATTTTAACAAATCACGTGATGAAAAGTCTGTTTCTTGTTAAATACTTTTGTCAATTTGGCAATTATTAATTTTTCTCAAGGTTTTAAAAGAGATTTTGAGAATCCATAACTGATTTATAACAATTATAAAATAAGATGTAGCACAACACCTCTTAAGTTTCTCCTTTGCATCACTTAATGCTTTCATAAGGAGTTAAGATAGGGGCTTGGTAGAGCGTTTGTTGAACCCGGATCAATTTTTATGAACTTTAGGAATTTAGTATAGATTAGGTAGGTCATACATATATTGTTTCACTTTGACTAAAATATTAAAAGTTCGAAACACTTAGAAAGTGTAGTTTATAATTATAAGATGTCCAGATTTGAAAATATAACCAAGTTCTTCCAAAATACAGTTTTAATAATTATCGTTTCAAACAAAAAACGATATTTTTATCACTCTGAAGAACCATTAAATATTGTTCATATTGAGAAAAAAAATATAGTTAACATTTTGCCCAATTATTTTTTAACGATTCTATGATATACAGTTTGTATTTCTAAAGATTTTTTTTCTGTAGATGATCGTCTTTTTGTCCCTTTCCTTGAGTGTCATGTTTTTTTTTATATTAGACTAAAAGAATGGATGAACATACTATTAGTAAGTTCATGTACACTGTTTGATCATTTTGCCCACGTCCTATGGGCAGAACATTTGCACAAGTCCATTGACAGAACATTTGCCCTGATCCATGGGGCATGTAAACAAAACAATTGTTATCAGCTATTCTTCAAAGCGCTTTAGAGAAGAATTTAAAGAATATATTTGTGTCAACGCAATTTTTGACCGTCCCTATGTTCTGCGTGTTACAATACGTAAACCACAATCAATTGTGTTCAACTTAATCCTGAACGATAAACGATGGGAAAAAAAACTTTTGCCACCTGTCGTCTCGGTCAGTTTATCAGGTAACTAGTATTTAACAAAATTAACGATTAAATGTATGAAAACCAGATCAATGAATCAAGCTGTATTCAAGAATAACCTATTTATAAAAATCGTTTCCTCAGCCCTGTAAATGGGGAGCAGCATCTTTCTTTCTTATTCAGAACTCAAAATTTCTTCGAAATTTTCTTATCAATGATCAGCTTTAAAAAGAATAAATAACTCTATACCCGTCCTCATACAGAATATTTACATAGCTTGTCTACTTGAACATATATGATGTGTACTGTTGTTAAGGCGAGGGAATTCCCCGCTAATCTTAATACACACACTTCCTGGTTCGATCAGACCATGATATCGTCTGCTAGTGAGAAAACATAATGGATATATGTCAGAATGGCGGGATTGACTGAATTTTAAGAAAGGTCAGTTATGCATTAAGGTACGCTATATTTTTCGGTGTAAATGGTACATATTTACATCTTATTATATGTAGTTGCAAATTAGAAAAAAATTATACTCTCTCTCTCTCTCTCTCTCTCTCTCTCTCTCTCTCTCTCTCAGTGCAATATTGACCAAGGCTATGATAGTCCGCAGTGCAAACTTTTTAAAACTTTTTGAAAATCTGATTTGGGTATTTCGTTGACGCAATTTTAAATTATGTATCTTAATTCCTTAATTTTTAATAACCTTAATAAATATCAGAAAGAAATCTTTCAAGTTATTTTTATGTTGACTTTAAATTTACTGAAAGGGCAACGATGAAAAAAATGGTATCTATTTTTGCACTACGAGAATATATCTTTTTTAATGACCTGAATACCGTTTTCGTCAGTTTTGGTAATAGGAAGTTTTGAAGATATTTTTCCTTGACCTTGTAATGAAATGATAAAGATTCCTGCCTTCTGTTTGAGAATGGGAACAAAATATATGGATGTATGGAGATAATTTTGATGCATTTCTAAGTAAATTGGATTGAGTTCTTAGAATTGAGTTTTGATTCTGATCATCTTTTTTTCTGATCTGTGTATCTAATGCTCAATTTGATATTTTTTATAGATAAACTATTTAATACTTGGTTCGCTTCAAAAATAAGAAAGAAAGACATGTTGTAAGGTAGCAACTGGGAACAAATACATCTGAAAAAATTTACATAATGGTTTGTAAACCTTATTTACCTTCTTATATACATCCACATGTATTCATTTGGAAAAGAGTTTGAAAAAAGTTTGATACACTTTAACAAAGACTTAACTAAACTTTAATCTGAACTTGGTCGATATAAATACAATTCTTTGGAATGGTTTATTGTTGGAAAAGAAATCAATGCATGCTTAGTTTAATTACATTAATTGCTAGTATTCTCCCCAATCATAGATGTATATATTTAAGTCTTTTGTACCTTATATGGGTCAGCCGGACATTTAAATTCTATCTTGGTGATCTAACCTGTCCTGTTAAATAAGATACGCTGTGAACTTCTTGGAAGTGAAGTATTGAAAAAGTTTCGGATAAAGACTTCCTGAAAGCAAAATACTAAGGAAAAAATTTCAATGAATTTGCTTTGTGTATATTTAAGCTTCTGGTAGGCTGAAAAAGATCGAAAACAAAACTAAGAAAAATCCTAAAAATAATAAGCTATTTAAATTTAATGAGATTTCCAGTTTTAGTTGTGCTTATTGCGGAAATCTTATGTAGGAAAGTCAGATGTCAGATCTAACACAGAAAATTGACGACCTTCACTTTCACTCACCGTTAGACTAAATATATTTTATCGATTATCTGAATAAAGCTATCCGTTGTGCGATAGACGACTTAATTGAGAAACCCGGAAGTTTGCCTGTTGAAAATTTACAATTGAATTTTTTTCCCTTCTGCTTGTTAAGCAAAGTACAAATTGATACAGGATGTGTATATTTTCACAGCTGTAGACTTTGTACAAATTAAGGTAACTGCGCCAGCGAGGAAGAAAAATAAATAATTATTTTTACAACATATGCAACAGGGAAAAAAAGTTTCAGCCAATATATAAGGCCAGTTCCATCATTTCAAATAATTTCATATTTCAATTCCAAAAATTAAAGGTAAATATTTTTTTTTCCTTTTTCGATGAAAATTTTCACACCCCACACAACACCCCTCAAATTTCTCTTTGCTTAATAAGTAAATAAAAAAAAACTTGCGTTCTGAACTATTTATTTATTGGCATACTAGTATAACGATGGATTTTTAAAATATTTGTATTTGGTTTGAATTCGATATTATGCAGTCCCTAGGTCATGAAACAAGCAAACAGTATTCTTTCATAAAATTTTTATCCATGCCTTAAATATCACAAAGTAAATGTTATTTAACATATTAGTATATTTTTTTTTCTTTTTCCATTCATTTTTTTTTATTTCCCTAGTTATCATTTGTGTTCAGGAGATAATAAGTAATATACATTAAATATTTATAATAAGATAAAAATATCTTAAACATTGTATTTTCAATTAAATTATTCACTGTTTAGGTGATGAAATAGTAGAATGACCAAGAATCATATTTCTTACAACGTTTGTGCCTTGTAAGTTTTCAGAAGGGAATTTTTTAAACATTTCTGAAATAGGAAAAAAATATAAATGGCAATGAATGACCTTTGTATTGAATATTTTGATTGTATAGATGAAAATCGTTTCATGAAACATATGGAGATAATGAACAGTATTCAAGATACATTGAACACTTAAGTTACTGAATGGGGGAAAATGACTCTGTCACAGTTTGCAGTATTATGTAATTGTGTTACGCTATTGATTATTGTTGAATAAGGCATGCAGATAAGTTATTAAGATAAGCAAAATATACTCCGTTTAAAGCACAACGAGCTGTGTATATATATACGTGTTCAAAATCAATTGAATTTATGAATGTTTTTTAATTTGCTAACATAAATACCTTTGTTGACCTAATGTACCTCTTTAGTGAATTAAAGTGAACAGCTAGGGTGGTATAAAAACAGGAAGTCAAAATTTGCAGATCTTCATACTTTATCTTGACGCACATGTCCTTGTGAATAACTAGATTACGGATGCCTTTTATAAAGAGTGAGGTATTTATAAAAAAGTTTTTAAGAAACATTTTTCTCATGATTGGTGTCTGACCAAGGAATTTAATCTTTTTTTATTGGATCAATGAACTTTTTTTCCTGATCCTTTCAGTGGCACACTGAGTTGGTATAATTATATTCATCTGAGAATCGGTAAGCTTTAAATTATTGAAACTGAAATATTCAAGGAAAAAAAAAGAATGGGAAAAAATATTGAAAAAGAATTATCGATGGGATTTTTGTCGCACAATATTCATTATTTGATAAGATTTTTGTTGCACAATATTCATTATTTGATAAGAATTTAATCATTTATTTTAACTGTAGCGATATGAATTGCTAAACAGAGTTCGATCTCAATATGACACCATGTAATTAAAGGACGATTTAATTACCGGTTCTTTGAATTAAAAAAATCTTGGAAGCTTTTACTAAGAAGCGTCTTATATATATACATGTAATGTACAGTGATCGGTTATTAATTTTTTATTTGAAGTTAAAAAATACTTACGTAAACAGTACCACATTTAGATAGAAAATCATATGAGACAATTTAATTCAATAACTGCTTCAATTTTGAAAATAGAAATATTTGTTTATTGCGTTCTTGTCCTTGCGTGTGGATTTCGTGCACAGTGTGAAATTTAAAACTGATTTGTGGAGGAGGCAACAGGTTATTATGTGCTTGATGCAGCTTGTGTTATTTGCAAACATTAAAAAACAGTCATTTTTTTTAACGAAGAAAAAAATTAATCTTATTTCGTCGATTTCGTAACTTTCATACCATTTTCATTCATGTATATAAATAAAGAGCAGATGAATGCAAGTGAAGTATCTGCTTTCAATTGGTCTCTAATCAGCGTGCTCCCTTTAGACCTGTGTTTCCTGTTAGAAATATAGCGCTCATTTGTTCAGAGTGCGGCCAATGGCGGATCACTTCCCTTATTAAAGTTTATTCCGTAAAATCAGGACTTCCGGCCTATGCAAGTTAATTAATATATAATATATATCAACAGAGAGAGAGTTTATATTTGGATTTGTGCAAATGATTGCAATACAGAGACACCCGTAATATTATTATTATTTTGGCATCGAATTGTCATGCCCTTTTCGAATGAATTTTACACTGATTTTTGGTGCATGTATCATATACCTTATAACTGCTCGGTTAATGAATTTTTTCTGAGACAGGTTTAAACCATTCCTTTTCTGATCGTCAATAAGTCCAGATCTTCATTTATTTAAGGTAATGCAAGTAGAAAATATTTAATTGCGCGAGCTTGATGGATCCGGGATATTACGCGCACATGTAACCAAATAGGGGCGTTTACACAAATATAACCCGAAGTGTTGTGAATGAAAGAGAATATCAACATTTAAAAGTGACACATTATCGCTCCTTTACATATCTATAGAACTTTTTACAATTCATGAATGTATTGTAAAAAACACTATTTTACAAGAACCTGTATGTGAAATATAAAGCGATGGCTCTCATATTCAGTTTATTTATCATGAAAGTGGATTCTTTAGCATAATTTTTCGTAAACTATGAAAAAATTCGGGTCTTATTCTGCCGTTCTGCTCTTGATCTTCTAGAAATAAGTTTTTTTTCTTAACCACACTCAGTGACTGCAAATCCCGAAGGTATATTAATCATTGGAAAAACAAATACATTAAACAGGAAATTTGGATTTGTGACATAATTTTCGGAGTATATATTCACCAGTATTACAATCAAGCATGTTTAATTTTTGCAGATACCAGGCAACAATAATGTCTAGGAAGGGAAAATCAAAAGAATGAGCAATCTGGATATAATATCTGCTGCCAAAAATGGCGACCTACAGGCTGTGATTAATTGCATTAATTACGGAGTATCCGTGGATACCAGAGACAAGGATAATGCTACCCCACTATACTGGAGCTGTTGCCGTGGTTACACGAAGCTAAGCGCCGAGCTGATCAAACTTAAACCTGACCTCAACGCCAAAGTCACCTGGGGGTCAACTGCATTGCATGCATCATGTGACCGTGGTCATATTGCTTGTGTGACATTGTTAATTCAGAGGTTTGTTTTTAATCATCATTTCGTGTTGTAAAATTTGAATTTACAAGTTACCTCCCCCTAGAAAATTCAAAATTTACAACATGATAATCATTTCAAAACACATTTACCGTCACGATAGCTCAGTCGGTGAGCGGAATGCTCGGTCCGTGATTAAAGGTCGTGAATTCGAATCCTGGCCTCGAATGACCTAAGTCGATCAAAAATGGGTAGCGACTGTTCCTTCACCATGAGCTCGACATTTTCAAGCAAAAGTTGCGGGTCCTTTAGATGCGACCTTAAAACCCGAGGCCCCGTGTCACGACAGGTGTTGACACGATTATTAATAAGATCCCTCACTGCTTAATGACTCCAAGTGCCGAGTAAAGGTCAAAATTTGAAGCCCTTCACCGGTTTTTGGTGACGTCTCTATATGAGTTAAAAATTATCAAATGGAACATAAAACAATAAACAATCAATTAATCAATCTAAAGGCCTGTGGATGAGACCTATAAGCCGAGGTCCCTTGTTGCAATAGGTGCTGGCACGAAAAAGATCCCTTAATGGCCCAGAGTGCCGAGTATAGTTCTCCAACGGCAAGTGGTCGCGTCCCATATAAGTGAAACATTCTTGAGAGGGGCGTTAAACAACATACAAACAATTTTTTGAGTATTCGCCGTGGACGCAATGATTTCAACCCATTCGAAGCATCATTGCTATAAAACCACATCTAAGTTATGAAATTTTGATTGGTTAAATAATCACCTGGTTGGAAGAGAATACTTGGAGAAAATTGAGGTTTTGCCAATTTTGATAAAAAATGTCTTAGCAGTTATTTTAGTTATGTCTACAAAGTCCTATTTTTTTGCAGTTTTTTTGCTTTTTTAATTTTATGTTTTGTTTACAATTTAATCGATTAATATCTTAATTTGTTTAGAAAACTTTAATGCATAATTGACAATGCTTCAAGACATAGTGTAACCATAAATGTAAACCATTGAAAGCATATTTATGATATGTCATGTTTTGTTTTCCAGCGGCGCTGATCTAGACCTGCAAAACAAGACTGGAAATACTGCACTTCATTTGTCGGCATATAGGGGAAATCTAGACATAGTAAAGTTACTGGTCCAAAATGGAGCTAATGTATTTCTCCGCAACGAGAAAAGAAGAAGTGCGGCGGAGGAAGCAGAAGCGGGATTCCATACTCACACATCTCAGTTCCTTCACAGAAAAATGACAGGTTGGCTCTCAATAAATAACATAAAATTATTTACTGGGAACGAAGGAACATGCATTTTGTCATATTAAACTGTTTGCTTAAAGGCGTTACGCAGAAGGTAAACAGTTATGGACAAAATGCATTTTTCTAAGAGCAATTAACAAATGTTCTATAATACCTTTTAACTCTCATTTCTTATGTTGAAAGATCTTCCACCGGCTTTAATGTTAGCAATAATTAAGATATGAATCTGATTGTGCCTTCAATATAACATTAAAAAGTCATAGCGGTCCAATGTCTCAACGGCAGGTCCAATGTTTCACTAATCGGTCCAACTTCAACTTTTTGGACAGCTCAGTAAACCGTTGGAAACATTATACTATTTTCTGCGGACGGGACAATATGAACTGAGGTTCCGCGTCGCAGTAAGTGGTGGCACGCAAACGATTTATCCTCACTGGCATGTATAGAACAAAAATTTGCAGCTATCCACCGACAAGTGGTGGCGTTCCCTTTTCATATGACAAAAGAGTCATTTAACAAGTGTATGTTTAGAAAATCTCCAAGGTCAGATCTTTCATAATTGTTTTCCTTGGAGTTCTGACCTTGAAATTTGCCTCATCTCGCTATACTGTGATAGAATAGAAATTCAAATTCAAATTAGGCAATATTGTATAATTTTTTGTACATGAATGTTCATTATGAATATTCAAGAAGAAATTTTAAGTTTACATTTTAAAATTCAGTTGTTTTGAGAGTTGCATTTTTTCATTCAACAGATTACGAAAATAAATGGAGGGAAAGTGAAAGTAGAATACACAGTTGTCCGGAGATTATTAGAAGAAAAATCAACGAGCCCGCATCGGAAACAGAATGTTACACACAAATAAGTAAAGACGGACAAAGATGCTTGTCAGCAACACTTACAGAATGTTTTACGTATGACCTCGAATTAAACTGCGCCAAAACATGCTCTTGTGTAGAAAATAAAGAGAAAGAGAAACATGCCATACAAGACAGTGATATTTCAAAAGGTTGTAAGGTTGTAAGCGCAACAGAGAGTCGAGAAGCTCTAGTCGCGTTGGTGGAAAAGCTTCAGTTGCAGATAGTTAAAGTCAACGAAGAAATTGTTCAGAAGGATAAAAATATTAAAGAGCTAAGTGTATTGAACGAAGAACTCACTTCTGAGATAGGAAAGTATAAGATTGTCTGCAAAAGACTTAATGAACAGAAGACGGTTTTGGAAGAGAAACTGAAAGTGCACTCCACTGTTAAAAAATCGGTTGATCATTTGTATGATTTCTTACAAGAGACCTCACAAGCACACCCCTCTTGTTCCTTTACAGATAATTATTTTGAAGTTTTAAAAGAAAGGATGAAGCGGAAGTGGTTAGAGCCTCCATCGGAACAACCTGTGGACACGCCCATGAAGGAGTGGTTTCCAGGGACTGATTACGTAGTCAATGGAGATCGACCAACCAAAACGGAGACTAATGGAACTGAATCCTTGACATTTCTTATAAGACATTTAAAATCTGGAAAGTTTTGTGATCTCAAGGCATGTATAATTTAGTTAATAATATTAATTTGATGGTATTTTATACTTGAGAAACATTTATTACAAGTAAGCAAACTCTTGATTTTTTTTTTTTTTTTTTTACATATTGATAATTATTGATACCTATATAACTTATGAAAGTCGATTATATTATATACCATAATGCTGATGGAATGAAGTCTTTATTTTAAAGTTATTGCCAAAATGGACATCAATTCTGATATTGTTTTACAAGTGAATGAATTTTTCTTCGTTCTTCTACTTGTTGTTTCTCTGCTTCTAGAATGTGTGGCATAAAAACTCGTGTTGTTATTTTTAAGAAAAAATATTTTCTTTCAGATGAAACTGCTAAGCGACGATCCTAATGCCTCAACATTCGGATATTACTCAGTGCCACAATGTGCTTTGGAAATCCAAAAGCTTCATAGACTTTCGGTCTTGAAACATCCGAACATTCTGAAATCCTTGCATGTCTTTCGAGGATCAACGGAAAGATTTCGAAAATTTCTTTCTGTTCTTGTCCCACGAGGATCCATGAATTCCATTGAAATTCCGAGACAGGCTTTTTTTCTTGTGACGGAGCATTATTCACATACCCTTCAGTCTTTCGTAACATCGCTCCGGGGCGTGACCCCGGCTCCTTTATACGGGTTAACGGATGAGTTTCTCCTATGTATAGTGTACCAAATGTTGTCTGCTCTCTGTTATTTGAAGCGATATGGAATTGTCCACAGAGACCTACATTCAGGAAATGTGTACATGTCCGACCGTTTTTGTCCGGTGATTGGAAATTTCGATATGGCTCTATGTGTTCTTGACAATGACAATCAACAAATCGTGCTCCAAGAACAATGTCAAATCATGGCGGGAAATTCAAATGCTTGGTCACCTGAACTTATACAGTACAATAGAAATGCACAGCAGCTGATATCAAAGAAGGTAATTATATTGATAATGTGATAATTTTTTAATGTACAAAAAAAAAAATCAAAAATAAATGAACGACATCTTTTTTCTTGCTAATGGTATTTTCCTCTTTAATTTGTCTTATTAGTTCTTTGCAAGAACAATATCTGAACGTAATATAATTAAAAAACTGTTTATGATTATAAACCATTATTGCGTTGAATCCTGATAGCGAGGAAATTTTGAGAAGATTTGAATGAAAAATTGATTTAGATATACAAGTTTTAGTTCGAATTTTTTCTGTTCCTATACACAAGCCTTTTGCACTCACTCGCTATGAAGTCTATGATGGTAATATCGGGGACATCTGGTTTCTGCTTTGTCAACAATATGTTTAAGGATAACTTGTTTGCAAGATTTTAGGCTTATTTTTACCAAATACTTTTACTGATTTTGAAAGTTTGGTTTTATTTCAAGATTTCTTGCTATTAGAGGCAATTGCTTCGCGTTTTCAGAGAATAAACCTATTATTTACTTTAAAAAGATCTTCTAAAAACAGCTATTTTCTTGAGGGTATACATACAACATTTGTGAATTTTATGTCAAACTGACTATCTATATCTTTCTACATCTTATATCATTTTTGTCCACTTAAGAGGAAGACGTGTATTCTAAATTTTTTTTAAGTTTTCGCAAATTTGTCTTTTAACAAAAATACAGGGATCTCTTTGGGATGTTTGATCGTGTGAGATCCATTACGTAATCTAGACAAGTCATCCTAATTATGTAATATCCTTTTTCTTCCTCCTCAAGTTCTAAAAATGTCATTGGGAAAATCAATGGGAAAAAATGTATTAATTGAAATAACGTATGTGTTTACGACGTCTTCCTGGTGTCAATGTACCCTTATTTTGGTCCTTGAGCCATGTTTGGGATGTTTTAGAGTTTTATGATGCGAAGAAATCTGAGTGGTCCATAAAATTTATTTTAAAATATATTAGGGATTCACGAGATTTAACCGTTGTAACACTTTAAGATGAATGTTTACCGTGCTTTTTAATTGAAAAAAGATACATGAATCCAAATTTTGATGGTCCATTTTTTTTTATTCTTCGCACTATTTACAACTATTACTACACAGATAATGTATTTATGATTTCACAAATTCTTTTTGAAACAAATTGACACAAAAAGCATCTACTATTTCTTAAAAAGCATACAGTGTGTAATGTAATTTTTGAATTACTTAACCTAAAAAAAGCATTTTTTTTAATTCTTCAGGTAACACTTATGATTATTTACGACAAATCTGACCTTTACGCAATCGGGAGGATGCTACACACACTTTTTCTGCTTCCGGAAGTCGACAAGAGATTCCAGCAGACTGTTGAAGAGAATCCATGTTACAAATCACAGGAGATACCGGAACTTCCGGCATCTGTACCACGGGGTCTTAGGATTCTGTTGAAAAATCTCGTTTATAGTAATCCTTCTGAAAGACTGAGTGATCAGCAATCCAAGCTCTTGTTAGTAAACTAATAATCAGAAATAAGTTATTTTTAAAACAAATTGCTAATATTCATCAAATTGATTGTTTTAATGAAGTAGTTTACTAATTTTTTTCTCATGTTCATTGCAGCATTGGAATCCTTATGTTCGGCCCCAAAACCAAAGAACTTCACAGTATTGACGATATTCATACGTATTGTCACTCACGAATGCTTCATCTACTGGGACAAGACGAAAGAATTCTGTAAGTATTTATAATTCTCTTTGTAAAAACATATTGCTTAAATGACAACTTTGCATTAGATTTAAATTTTATACAATATTTATGGGATAAAAATAATATTTTATTTTTAAGGAAAACACCTAACCCAACATTTGAAGAAATCCAAGACGTTATCTCACCGGAACTGGAAAGTGACTTTTTATCAACTGCAGGAGAAGATTCATATTTTGATATGTACAAAAGACTCTGTTCTTTAAAATGTTTACAATAAAATAAATTAAAATTTAGTTTTGATTAATTTTAAATCATATAAAACAATACTGTAGAAAATAAGGTTTATATTTACATGAAGACAAGGTAACAAATAGGGATCTATCTAAAAACAGTACTTAACTTTTATCTGTGTATGAAACTCGAATGCTAGAAATTTCAGAGATTAGATACGGTGCCTTAAAGAAATAAGCATTTCCTTTACATTCGTCACGCAAGCGTAGAGACTTGTGTATTGATCAGTTGAAAAGATCATTTGGTAGTCAAATTAAATATAAAACTAAGGCCAAAAATTTGTATGAAACCAAATACAAACGGTCAACCAATAATAGGCTGTATTTGGTAAGAAGATCAATGTTTCTGCATTATTATTGTTTATCACCTGAGCTTGTTAGTTTTTGTATGGGGAATCTGCAATGTTATGTTTCCCAAGGTATCATGCTTAACATATGAGCTAACATAAACATTGAACTTCTCATTTTGAAATACCAAAAATGTTTCTAGCAAAGTAACATTTACTAGTAAAAGATATAAACCGAGGTGTCGCTTAGGTGTTAGCCGAAAAAATTGCTCAATGGCCGTAAGTGCCGAGTAAAAGATAAAATTTGTAAAATCCATATGAGTGAAGAATCTTCGAGAGGTACCTGCGGTACATTAAACAACATGCAGTCAATCAATCTTATCATATAGACACATATTTACCACTAACACAAACTAAAATGACATGACATTAAAATTGCCTTTAAAATTAAACAGATTGCAAACGAAGTATAAAAGGCCTCTTCTCCCCATGTTCTCGCAAGATATATCTTTTTTGCAGACGTATTAAACATGAAATGGTTTGTTTTCAAAACATAACTATGTTTTGGAACGGGGATAAGTATGTATTATCGTAGACTTTGGCTTGAAATTCAGCTTAAATCTATTTAGTAATGGTTTGAGAAACAAAACATTGTAAAAGATTATTTGTTCCAGAATCTTTCTTTCCATCTTCAAAATGCAGTCTTTGCGAAAATGCTTTTCTGTTCATGATTCAATGTAAGGCAACCTTCGGTTTCATCTTTAAACTACATTGTAGAGGTACTATTAGCACTGAGTTAAATTAATGATACCCACTGCTTCCCATATGATTATAAGGGGAAATCGAAGTTTTGTTCAGGGAGACCCTAAATAAGTATCAGATCAAAATGTAAACTAGGAGGTGTAGAGTGACATTATTTTTAATAAAAAAAAATCGTATGTGAAAGCATCATGAAATTTAATTCAGTAGTATAAAAAGAGGTGTGAATACATTGCAAGAGATGGGTACCTATCAATATTATAGTAAGAATGGCAGTGTCCATGTTTTTCTACTGGAAACCAAATTGTGTGTTGGATAAAAAAGTAAAATAAGACATGCACAATAAAAGTATGTAAAACAAGAGGCCCAAGGGCCACATCGCTCACCTCAGCAATTGGCTAAGAAAAAACACAGATCAGATCAGAACTGAAAGTAAACTGGGGTGAGGGGGCGCGCTTGAATTTTACACCCCCAGGGGGTCATGATTTGAACAAACTTGAATCTACACTACCTGAGGATGATTCCCTATAAATATAACGAAGCCTGGCTTTGAAGTACTTGAAAAGAAGATTTTAAAAGGTTTCCCTATATGTTCCTATGTAAAACTTTGATCGGCCATTTTGGCCCCACCCTACCCCAGGGGGTCATGATTTGAACAAACTTGAATCTACACTACCTGAGGATGATTCCACATGAGTTTAATCTTTCCTGGCCCAGTGGTACTTGAGAAGAAGATTTTTAAAGATTTTTCCTATATATTCCTATGTAAAACTTTGATCAGCCATTTTGGCCCCACCCTACCCCCGGGGGTCATGAATTGAACAAACTTGTATCTACACTACCTGAGAATGATTCCACATGAGTTTCATTTTTCCTGGCCCAGTGGTTCTTGAGAAGAAGATTGTTAAAGATTTTTCCTATATATTCCTATGTAAAACTTTGATCGGCCATTTTGGCCCCACCCTACCCCCGGGGGTCATGATTTGAACAAACTTGAATCTACACTACCTGAGGATGATCCCAAATGAGTTTCATCTTTCCTGGCCCAGTGATTATTGAGAAGAAGATTTTTAAAGATTTTTCCTATATATTCCTATGTAAAACTTTGATCGGCCATTTTGGCCCCATCCTACCCCCGGGGGTCATGATTTGAACAAACTTGAATCTACACTACCTGAGGATGATTCCACATGAGTTTCATCTTTCCTGGCCCATTGTTTCTTGAGAAGAAGATTTTTTAAAAATGCCATTAATTTTTCTCTAAATCATAATTATCTCCCCTTGGATAAGGGCCTGGCCCTTCATTTGAACAAACTTGAATCCCTTTCACCCAAGGATACTTTGTACCAAGTTTGGTTGAAATTGGCCCAGTGGTTCTTGAGAAGAAGATGAAAATGTGAAAAGTTTACGACGAAACAACGACAACAACGACAACGACAGACAACGGACAAATTTTGATCAGAAAAGCTCACTTGAGCCTTCGGCTCAGGTGAGCTAAAAAGATTATGTAATGTCTGTTAAATTTCATTCTGTACTGTAAGAGGAGTTGTGGATAAGAGATGGGCATCCCCAAAACGTAACAGATGGACGGACATTTCGAGCACTTTACATGTATACCCTCCCACTTTCAAGCTTGGAGTATAATAAGATACTGTAAAGAAACAACAGATTGGTGTTTGATTAAAGACATTGTAAGCATATAGTAGAAAGTTGTTTAGAAAATGAAATTGTAGTTTTTAAATTTCGATGTTGAGTCTTGCAGAGAAATAAGGACAAGTTTTCACGATTCAGTGTCATTTCGATGACAAAAAAGGGATGTCTTTCTTTATTACAATTGTTTCACTCAAATGTATTTTAACATATGGGTAAGGGAAGCATTATAAGTCGGTAGTCTTTTATTTTGTTTTTAATAATTTACAGTGACATTATACGGAAGCCCTGGAGGGACATTGACTTACTTGTTATGACTTATTTGTTATTACTTTATTTTGTTTTAACTTATTTGTTGTGAATGTTTCGTACTAGAGATAACTAAATGTAAGAAGGCTATTGAAACCTGTTGCTTGGCTTAAAACAAATAAGTTATAACAAATAAGTCATAACAAGTAAGTCAATGTCCCTCCAGGGCTTCCGTAACATTAAGTGGTTAGCAGTTATGTATAATTTATACATTTAAATACTTCCTCTTCCCAAGTTTTCCTCCAAATCATTACTTATAACTTTTTAGATTAAAGAAATTTCATTACCTTTACCTTTTACATTACTAACTGGGATTTTATACAAGTCTTGAAGATTATGTTGAAGAATTTCATCTATTTAAAAAAAAAACGGTAGAGCCCGCAACAGACATAAGTCGATAAAATTTAGGTTACATTACTCTTCCTTCGCCAAGCGCTCTGTATTTTGGATTGAAAGTTGTGGACTTTTGAATGAGTCCTGAAAAACCAAAGGCCTGGTGTCACGGTATGTGTTAGCACGATAAAGGTTATTCTCTGCTCAATGGTCCTGAGTGCCGAGTAAAGGTCTGTATTTGAAATGATTCACTGATATATATAGTAATGTCTCTAATTAAGTGAACAACTTTGAGTGGATGGCAATCAATCAAACAGACGAAAAGTGTATACATGTATTTTGGTAAACAACAGATTTTCCCAACCTTTTAAACTGTAGGAAATTTCAGAAATCAAAAGAAATATGTCCAACAAGAAATAATAACCTGTGTGCTTACATGTAAGAATGATTCTTTTTAAATCTTAAAAATTATATTACTTTTACTCAAAATATGTAAAAATATTCTAAAATTTTAAAAAATTATTACTTTTATTCAAAATATGTAAAAATATTATAAAAATATTGATAAAATATATCGAACAACTTACCTTTCTTAGAAGTAATCTTTAGTAGAGGATCAAACTAATCTGATAGAGTGACTTCAAAGGTAACAAGAATCTAATGCAGTGTTGCATAACTTATTGCACATACATATTAAACGTGCAAGGATCGGGCTGATACAAAAAGGAGTTCAAAAGAACAATGATTAATTCCTTGAAAAAATGCTTCGAGGAATAAACATCGAGGTATTTATTCGTATGAAACGAAAAGAAAGTACAAAAACTAAAACAAGTCCTTTTCTTTTGGAAATTATCATTGCGAGCTGAAAATATGGTAAATAAAATTTTGTAATTTTGGTAAATTAACTTTTTTACTAGTTAACCAGTCGTTAAGTTTAGTTTATGTCAATTTTTCTTGCATAATATTTTTGATAAAACTTTTATTTGGTTTTATATATAGTTTACAACAAATTTATGCATGCAAAAGAATTTGAGGAAAATGTCAATCAATTCGAATATATGTATGATTTTAACACTACAAACTTAAAGTATTAATCTTTATTTTAGGATTCTAGTAAACTAATTTTACTCTTTGTAATATTGTTAATATTACAACAATTCGACGGTGTGTGCGCCGCACCATCTAGGAGAAACCTAAACATAAGACGCCATTTAGGACTTCTGAGGGGTCGCAATGCCAGTCAGCGAGAAATTGAGAGAGATGTCAGAGAATCAAGAGAACGTGACAGAGAGAGGGATCGACGAGATAGAGACAGACACGAACGTGAAAGAGACGGAAATAGAGAAAGTGAAAGGAGAAGAAGAGACGGAGGAGAAAATGAAAGGAGAAGCAAAGACAATTAAGTTCTTCCTTGCTCCTAGTCAACGCTTTCTGGACGTGTTTTTAAGTGGTTTATATGTTACGTTTTGGATGCAACTTAAGTAAGATATTATCTTCATTTATTTTTTTTATCTCAATATATAAAAATATGTTTTTCACGATCTGATCACATTTTGGATGTTCAATTTTTGGAATCTTCAATGTGTTAAACCAACCTTTTTTGTGGTATATAATATTTTACATTACACAAAAGCATATAATATTCTATTTATAGGCTGTGTTTCAATAGAAAAAAAGTATCATTATAATAAAGACAAATAAAGATACAAAACATTTTTCTCATGATGAAAGACGGGAATTATCTTATATCGTTTTTATTCAAAGTTTATTTGCAAACATATGCATGTCTAAAGCCGAAGGCTCAAATGAGCTTTTCTCTCAAAGTTTCTCCATATTCGTTGTTGTTGTTGTTGTTAACATTTAACTTCTTATGTTTCATTTCATTTTACATGTACAGAAAAACAATAACTTTGCTACATACATGTCAGGACAAATTGCTATTATCATCATCACAAACATTGATTTCATTAAAAATAAGACAGAAGAAGCACCGATTTAGAACCAGTAAATCAGATTTCGGTTCACTGAGAATGTAGTTTGAGGGTATTTATAAGATCCAATGTTCTCTGTCGTTGATATTGAATAATGGAAGTTTGTAGACGAGGGCTGTTTTTAAACCGTGTTTGACGCTCCACATGCGCCTTAGTAACTTGATCCACCACTATGTTTTTGAAATTGTCCCAGTGAAATTTCTCCGTGTATGACGTCAACAGTTGGTTGTCTGTTGGGTACCTATAAGATAAGAACCATGTATACATGTAATACATGTATTAATTTAATTTCAAAAATAATATAATAAAAATAATTAATGCATTTGAACAGGAAAAATGTAAAAGAAAATAAAGTAAAAGAATTCAATTCAATTAATAAATAAAGGTATGTTGGTATGGAAAAAAAGAAATATTAAAAGTTTAAACTTTCAAAACAGCAGTCAGTTGACCTTATTCAATATCTTTCTGCGTATTACCTATAGTATTGTGGAATTAAACTCATCAAAATTAAGATTCTAGCGTGAAAAGTACCCTGTACAGATACGAAACAAAATTGATTTTATCATAAACACGTACACGTTTTTTTACACAGCGTAATACATTAAAAAAAACAAATTGCGAAAATCATTACAAACTTAAAATATATAATAATTGATGTTTAAGTAAACATTGGAATATTTCTGCGACAATGGAAAAATCATCAGATATAATATATCTAGGGAAACCGAATGGAAAGGATAAACTTCACAACGAATTTTTTATTATTATTGAAATTTGAAAAAGTATTATAAAGGACTATATTAACCTTGATTTTATGGAGATCCTTCTCGCTTGTTCAAGGGCCTCACGAGAGCAGATCTGGAAAAAGTTCTTCTTCTTGATTCGTAGGAAGCGAGCCCCGCCACTGACCAACAGAACGTCACTGTCAGGCGGAGAGGTCACGTGGTGCATGATGGAATAGATATCCTGATAATTTTTCAAAACCAATTAGTTAGGATTAATTTCTGATGGAGCAAAGTTTTTTTTAGAAAAGCAACATGAAAAAAATCATGTATTTTTTAGATATTAATATTGATCTCAGTATCTTTGTTGAAGTAAAAAAATTTTTTTCTCGGATATTGGTTCAATTGCTAACAATAAGATATAGATATATCATTTAAAGATTGAAATAAAAAAAAGAAATATTGGATTTGTTTTTGGATAGAAAACAACTGTGTGTGCTTGTTAGTGTTCTCGACATTGATTGCTTGCATTTTGTACATGTAGTTTGTTAACTCTCATGTATATAATCAAGACACACTCTGAATACTTTAAGTAATTCAATATACTTACAAATACATCATCTTTGCTCACACTGTCTATGTGGAGGTATATAAAATCAGATGTCGTGTTTTCCTTGTCTTTAGACATGAGAGATGTTAAGGTAGTAGGGCCATGGAGTATCATTTCCTGTTTCTTCTTTCCCATCTCTTCTCGGTTTGGGGTCTTCATGGCTTTCCTTCTCTATAAAAAACAATCAACATACAGATATTTAGCTGATGTATAATATAAGGACCTTTTTTCTTGTACAGCAAATGTAACGAAAAAGAATGATACGAAACTCAATTAGTTCAAGTGATATTTGAATTTCTATTAAATATTCTTTCAAATTATATTTAAATTTAATGTTTTGTTCATTATCAATATTCATTAAATAAATGTATTTCATACAATATTCAACATATCTAATTTTAATTAGATTTGTTATTTAGATTAAAAATATGAATTAAACGTCTTTATATGTTAGTTCGGTAATAAACATCGCAGTTAATGCAGAAAAATTTACATATCGGTTACACAGGTAATATATTTCTCTGCAAAAGCTGCTACCTTTATTTCCGTACTAGCAAAGAAATATTCTTTTCCTTTTTCCGCTTTATTGTTTTAATAAGCTCAATACTACCAAAAGGTGTATTGCCATTCACAATGCTACAGGAAATCCACGTGGGTAAAATAGGAAGAAAACAGTAGTTGGCATGCATACAACATGGATCTTAGCATTTGAATGAAATGTTTTATGTTCAAATGATTTTTTTCAACTAAAGTAAAAAATATTAAAATGACAAATGTGGTAATAAAGTTATATACATTGTACTAAAAATGAATTCTGCTTTAGAACTATTTAGTTACCTTTAAAACTGATATGGCTAATTTTAGGATGGATATGCCGATTAAAAATATATGTGAGGTATTTCTGTCTGGGAAATAAGGGACTTTATTTTGTTCACGAAAAGTACAGAGGAAACATGCATATCAAAATAAGTTTCATTCATTGTAGGTAATTTCCAAAACATGCACTTAAACACCATGCAACACAAAAAGCATGCAGATATATTAATATTCATAAGGACCTGTATTTCTGCCTCCCACTTCAAATGTGTTAAGAAGCTCGTTCTCTAAATTTAAATAATTATAAGCACGTTTAATTCTCAAATATACAGTATAATAGAAAAAAAAAACACTCAAAAAAATTTTCAAAGCCAACAAAGAACTGACTTAACATAATCCCTTGGATTATTTTCTGTCAATAAATAAAGGGGAGATAAGTCAGATCATTGTTTTTACGGTCAATATATTATGTAAATACATAAATAATCGCATTAATACATAAATTGAAACTAATAGTTGAATTAACAATTCCTGTGGATAATGTTCTTCTGGGTGCTTTATCATTACGTACCCGTCCGTCCTTCCGATACTCTAATGACATGGATTCCAGCATCTTTTCTTTTCCTTCTTCATCATCAGACTCCTCAGCTGACAAACTGCTGACTGACAGAGAAAAGATACGTACAGCTGTAGCATAGCTATTGAAATGTTGTGAATGTTTAGGATTTTCCTACAATTGATTTCTCTTCTACTTAAATTTTTTTATCAAATAAAAATATCAATCACTGTATTTGACTTTTCTTGTTATTTTTTTTTTTTTTTACATGTTTGAATAAATCATATATGCACGAATCATGAAATTCCTTAATAATTTATATATAATTAGTGTTACGCAGAATGGATTATAATTTTACTATCTATTATTGTATCTATCTACTATCTACTATCTATTATTTCTTTAAAAATATTTGCACTCTTTAAAATGCAAAAAAAAAAAACAAAACATCAATTAAAAAAGAATTTTGTTGTAAGTAATTTTATAATCGATGTGAATATGTCTCCATGTCTGTACCATCCTGAGAGTCAGGTTCGTCGTCCTCCAGGAGATTTATCATAACTTCCGGTGTTTTATGTCGACTGATGGACACAGTTGACTTAATTCTTTGTCGTTTTGACGTAGTCGGTCCGTCCAGCAGCAGCCGCCGAATCACTTGACCTTTGCCCTGTAATAGGATAAAAAGTAAAGTAAAGTGAATTGTAACTTTATTTCATTTGCTCCCCCTATTCTGTAATATTTAATGGACTGTCGTTATCTTCACATATTTCGTAAACATGGATTAAAATTCATATGAGCGTAAAATCCTTTTCATTGGCCGTTTGCTTACAAATCAACTCATGAGCCGTCATTTCTCTAACCGTATATAACTATGAACGCTATGTCATTTAATGCCAGGAGGAAATTTTATGATTAAAGGAAAATAAATATTTTACAAAGGATGGCCCTTTAGTTCCTTGCCTAAAATTAACCTACTGAAGAAAGGCATATAGCGATTGCTTATATTAGAATAAAAAGAATATATTTTTCTTAAATGCCTTCTAGTTCTTGATTACCTGCATACAAATGTATATCCACTTCTCGTCCCTTTTGTCTGTGGCAACGACTTTGTTTGTCTTGTACTATAAATAAAATTTTAAAAAATAAATTCAAATAAACCATATAATAACATTTTAACTGTAAAAAAAAAAGGAAAATTATAAATGGATTTTATTCTAGGTATAAATGAGGAAGATAATAGTAAACCATATCCTCTACCTCTTGAATCTGAGCGTCATTGCAAAGGGCTCTCATCATGTCCTTGGTCCAATATTTTGAATTGAATAGTGTCAACTGACTGTCAATAGAGCAGAGTAAATCGGCATTTAATTTTTTCTTTCAGTACTTTGCCTTTGAAAAGTTTACATTTTATATCCTGAACATTTAGTCTTTTTTTAATGTCAGTATTAATTTTAGCACTATACTGGTATCGAAGATCCTGACTTACGATAGAAACTTTTCTTTTTCTTCTAATTCTTCCTGAAAGATACTTGGGCAGACTTTAGCGAACGTCTCCTTGTCCACCACCAAAACTTCGCACGTCTCCCGGCAGGTAATTGTGGCAGTGCGTCGGATATCTTGGAGCAATGCTAATTCCTAATTTGAAAAATGCTCGTAAATATGTGAATAATTTACAAAAAAATTCAAAATGTAGAAGTGTATAATATTTCTTTTATCTCTTTGGATCTTCTGTAAGGGTCCATATTAAAATGTAACATTATTTTATTTCATTTTTACATTCCATGCTTTTTGAAATTATAATTTTGAACAGCAGCTTACCGTTAGTTTTTTTTTAAATAGATAATTATGATAAACAAACACCTAATAATCTCTTCAATTTATATAATTCTCTAATTCACCCCAAAGGAATCCCCTCTAGCCAGCACTGTTTCTGTCTTCTCGAAATGATCTCCTTTAGAATCAATGTCTTCAACATTTACAAAAACAGAACCGGAGTATATAAAATAAAAGTTGATTCCCACATGTCCGCGTCGTAGAATGACTCTACCTGGTTCAACGCTAAAACAAAAGAAAAACAAAAATCTGGCATTTTGCTCGAAATTTCACTTTCATCAGAAATAAAAGTATGATACCATGATTTTTCCAAATTCAACGGTACCTCTGATAGCGAAATGCTCTACACATATAAAGTTGTATTCGTTCTGTAAACTTGTCGAAGCTTTTCAGACCCCTGAGAAGAGCATGGATCCGCCTGCAGTCCCGCTCACTTCTGGTATCTGGATCCGTATCAAATATATCTAATGCCCACTTTGGCACTTTAGCGAAAGCCTGCAATTCAAAAATTGAATAGTTTTCCATTTTGACAATTTTTATACAAATACTGGTAAATATATATCTAATTTCACCTCACTATTGACAAAGTATTTGTTTTGCAAACAACACTATTTGTTTAAAGTGAAGGTAAGTTAAATGGGTAATTTCTTTTAAGAAGAACATACATATTAAATCATTATTTTTGTTTTTGTATTTATGTGAAGCATAATGTGTTCATCTTCTTTTACGTGAATCGAAGAAAAAACTTCATTACAGTGGCCTTCAACTTGACATTTTGATATATCAACAATGGTTATTTCCATTCTAATGTCGGCATTATATACAACAGTGAGCTTGTATTAGATAAAAAAAAAAACAACGAGTTTAATTTATATGCTTTATGTTCACTAGAAAAAGACGTTAATGGTTATCTATACTACTAACAACAAAATTTATGATAAACGTGATGACTTTAACTTTTCAATCGTACACCTTCCTTGATTATGCAAAATACATGTATACCATTATCACCTGCATTTTTCTAATTATTTGATTCGATTCTCCAGAACATGCTCTACGTTCAATTTCAAAAACGAGGTAAGTTATAATTGACAATCAAGTTCAGGAAACAAGAATATCGTCAGTTTCTTTAAAGTCATCGTTTTTCCCAAGTTTCAAATTTCTTCCGATCACGACAAGGAGCAAACGGCGGGTGTTACCGGTTGTAAGGGGATACTCACTTCTCCATAGAACCTGTTTGCACCTCTTCAGAGGTCCGTGTTTGCTCTTATCCTGATTTGTATCGTATAATGGACATTTGAGCTTGAATGCTGTTTGTTACGTATACATTTGTATCCCCCTTTGAGCCTGAACGCCGTTCTCTATCTCCATATATGACATTAACAATTGATATTTTTATTAGTAATGTATGATTTTCTATAGGCTTTTATCAATAAATCAAAATACTCATTTAAGGATAGCAACGCTCTTTCTTTTTTTATTAAGTTTAATCAAGTTAAGAAGGACAATAATATGTTAAATTGTCACATTATTGTGAATGTTATATTAGCATAAGATTAAAAAAAAACCTTTCTGGTTCAAAGACGATCAAACCGATAAAGAGCTGTACATGTAAGCATCACAATATTGCACAAACTACATTGATGTATAATACTTTGATAATGCTGTGTTGAATGTACAAATTTTTATTTAGCAGTTACTGTAATTTGCCATTGAATGTCAAAAGTTGCAAGGAGATAATGTTGGATGGTGTATTTATTAGTCATTGGACGTAACAATAGCAATAACTAGCAATAAACTGTTATGACAATCATAACATTACAACTACTTTTGACTTTCTCATTGTCGACTCAACTTTTGTTGTAATATCCCAGTCTCACTTGCATGTACAATTGTAAGATGTTTATTTTCCCTATTTATTACATACGCAAAAGCGCGAAATTGGTACGAATGAATATGTAGATGCTATGATTAACTTGTTTAAGTCAGTATTTTAATAGCTTTTTGGTTATTTATACAATTAATCATTTAGTCGACTGACATCGACTATCACACTTTTAGTTGTATTTTTTTTATACTTACGCTAAGGAGTTCTCTATCTAAGCAATACATACAGAAAATTATAATCACCTGATCCTACCTATAAGTTTATCAAAGGTTTCTTTATTATATGCCTCGTTCTCAAATTTGTACCGCTTTAAAGAGTTTTATAATGGATCAAGGTTTATAACATTGCTTTTTTTCAACTGAAAATATTATCGCAAATCTCGCTTGAAAGTATACACTCCGATCGAAATACCATTGTGTTGAGTGACGACACTGGTGGATTTGACAATTGAACAATTTGAATCATGCGTTTCATTTTATAAAACAATTGTTTTAATTGGTTGATTAAGACCCGCCCACTCTCGTGCAGTATCCTTTGCCTGTATAAGTTGGAAAGCGTCCAACGGCCTAGCGAATAGCCATGTTTGATTGTCGAAATGCGTTTTTCACTTTTTGAACCAAAAGTGAAAACAAAGAAAGAAAATATAAAATCATATTTTAGCATGTGATATACATGTATTCCTTACGCAGACGGTACATGAATATCGTTCGATGGCGCACACTATTTTTATCCGACATGGACATGACATGGCTACATGTACATGTATTTCTGCCGATTTCCTATTTACGGCATTTTCATTTTTCGGTGTTTTGTGCGACTTTTAAGTGCATTAAAAATCTTTTTTCTCCATGTTTTATTCAAATGTGAACTATTTCATTGAGTTGGCAAACACAAAAAATTGAAAACATGGATATTACTGGAAATCATGTGATTACCCAGCTGATAACGGGGCACTTGTTATTCATTGAAAAAAATATAAATTCATAGGTGGTAAAACACGTAAATCATCGGATTTGTGCAAAAGTTTACTGTTTCATTGTCAATACTGTCAAAAATACCATGTTTCAAATGTGTGTGTACTACTGCATACCCATTTCAACGGTCGTCATGGTAATGAATATGCAAAAAAATGTGTGTGTATTTTTCTTTGATAAAGTGCTGATTAATAAATTAATTATACATCTTGACTGCAAGAAATTTTATGCCACCTGGACCTGAGTGAAAGTTTTAATTATTATTCAGTTATGTTAATTATGTCAATTATGTCATTCTGCTTACAGTAACTCTTCCTTGTAATTGTTTACTTCATCATTATTATAAATTGGTTGTTTAATGAATGATCTTCAGTTGGAAACTGGACATTGCACTGTCCAAAACAGATCTAAAAACGCCAAGTCCTTGTGTTCTTTTCATGCAGTGCACATTTTACTGTAACGACAAATATTATTCATTTAAAATAATAAATTTCACTTATAATTCATGTTAAAAATTAATAATGTAACAATTTTTACCAAATCTAAGTACATTTTATTTTATTGATGCACTGAATTAAAAAAAAGAAAGAAACGGTCGTGTTACATGCACCTGATACGAACTTGACATGTATCAAGTCAACTGCTGCCAGTTCTGGAGCATATCTTATTTGAAGATCATTATACAGATTACCCATACCCACAATAATTTAATAAGGTATTGCATAGATCTACTACATACTTAGTTCAATAAGTACCACTTTTTTGCCCGTTTTCTACAGCTTTTCTATCTTTCTTGGAAACATTCAATATTTTCGGCATTACATTTGAGAAAGTGGGCAGGCCTATAAAAAAGCACCAATCAGATACTTTGTTGGATTTCGCAAATTGAACGTCAGTAAGATTCAATCGTATTTCAGTCAGTTTCATCAGTGTCGTCACTCAACGCATCACAATATCGGTCAAAGTGTATACTTTCAAGCGAGATTTGCGATAAATAGAGTATTGACAATCTATTGTATAATGAACCTTTGAATCAATGTTATTTTTCCAAATCTTAAAAAATATTCGAATATCTTTAGAAAAAAAATATATTTTTGGCGGTCATATGTATCTGATGCAAATATCCAATCCTCCATTTATTTAATCATCTCTACATAATATCATAATGTATATATACGTTCATTACTTTTTCAGTCATGTTCAAAACAGTTTGATTGCATTATACGACTTTAGGCTCCATCTCTCTTCATGACCTATTAAACTTTACGGTGTGACCGTTGGGACGAGCGCAGTTTATTTACTATCAAAAACCTACACATGTATTATCATTCAAGAAAAAGAAAGCAAAAAGAATAAAACAAAACTATATAATCCGCGAAGCGGATTATAAAAAAGCGTAAACTCGGAAATACCCGAACCGTTGAAGTGACGAAAATATGACGTCAGATGAAAAGCTCTGTTGACTTATAATTTAATTTTAAAATAATTAAACAACTGGGGATTTAAAATTGTGTTGTTTTTATTAGTTCAAATTTTTCCGCGCAATAATACAACCGTAGTAACGGAAGTGATTCGAAGTTTCCGGTGAGGTAAAAACTGATACATTGATCTAGCAGCCATTATGCTTGTTTACATTAGGTAAGATCTAGCAACTGATTGAAGTTAAAGGTACATTCATTAAATTTTTTTAATTTTTCATTAATCCGCAAAGGACATGGAAATGAGGGGATTGATGGATACAGAGAAATTTGGCTGGTTGTCACGGATTGTCCCCATCCCAGATTATACAAAATGTTATACACGTTCCTATTTGGAAATCAACCAATGAGAGACAAGAATACAAACAGAATTAAATTATTTTGCATATACTACCCACCCTTCCTGAACATAATAGTAACAAAATAAGGACATAAAATATCAGATGTCTTAAAGGAAGATATGTTTATTATGCTGATGTCTGATCTTTTGATTTTATATACATATGTATATTAATGCTTCTTACTGACAGAACATATACCGATCACGGTAGCTTAGTGGTAAAGCGTTGGTTTCGTAATCGGGGGGCCCAGGTTCGATTCTCGTTCGCGGCGCCGCGTCAAACCTATGACGCAAACATAGGTAGTGACTGTTCCTTCGCCAAGCGCTCGGCATTAGAAGGGAGAGTCACGGGTCTTTCGGATATGACCTTAAAAACGTAGGTCCGTGTCACGGTAGGCATTGGCACGATAAAGAACCCTCATTGCTCAATGGCCCTGAATGCCGAGTATAGGTCTAAATTTGAAGCCCTTCACCGGCTTACGTTGACGTCTCTGTATGATTTAAATTTTCGAATGGACGTTAAACAATATACACTCAATCATTCAATCTGACAGAACATAAGCCAATTTAAAATAGTAACAATTGCATACCCTTTCTTTGGAGTAAACCATTTTGTTAAAGGCTAGTCTCCGGGCCTCCTTACTGGTGTACAGTGTGTACCATCTCTCCTCTGTTGCTGTTCTGATCGTCTTTGTATCACTTATCTGGATAATGGCATTCAGCCACCGAATAAGGACGGCAACACACTTAGCCGCCGTCTTAAAGCGAACTTTTGTTGACTGAAATAAAATAAATTGGAATTTTATGGAATTATTATTGGTTTGTTTATGTTTGCTGAGTGTACTCCCTGTCTGTCAAAATACTCGAGATTTAACTGATTATCAAATTTGGAAGTTGCTTGTTCATAATTGAAATTCATCACTCCATAAACAATTTGTTTCTATCTGAACTATACTATTAAAATGAATTTTTTTTTACCAGTTTGATTCCTTTTACATGTCTTTTTCTCCTTTATATATCTTTTAATTAAACATAATTAAATGGGAAACACTGTTTTTGCATCGTGTTATTCTGTGTTGGTGAAAAGACTTTTTTGCTACATGTTTAAAGAATTAATTTAAAAAAAAATCATTTAAAACATTCAATGACAGCAGATGTACTAATATTGCTATATTACTGGAAAAAAAACCTCATAAAAATGATATAACAAAGATTCTTTCCGAAAAATATCGCTGACTAAAAATCAAATAAAATTTCATTTGTTTGTTATAACACTTTATTTCTGCTTTTTAAATCTATCATATCAAATATTTTAATGTCGGTCAACTTTGTTTATTTTTAAGAGATTCTTTATGCTAAGGCTGCGTGTTGGTTATCTCATGTTTATAGGTGTGATTGAATAAGGGATTCGTGATGACAATTGATTGAATCTGTGGCCTTAAAAACTTAATATCGTCATTTTACAATACATGCTAATATAAATGTGTCACAATCGAAATAAGAAGCATCTACGCGACAAAAATGAACAATGAAGTTTTCAGAATCCTAGACATAAATATGCGTGTTGAAAAGCAAGTCTCTTTTTCAAATGATGAAAATACTTGCATTCATAAATTGTGCTTGTATGAAAATGCTCCAATAGGATTCATTAAAAAAAATTGAAATTATTTTATTGTAATCACGAAATAACCTCCTGAAAATCAAATAACAGTTTAGGAATGTCCTTAGTATTAATTCACATATATGCATGACATCAATAAAAAAAAAAACAACATTTATTTCAGTCAGAACTATAGAGGTAGTACATGTATTTGCGTCACGGTTTAATAATTCTGCATTGTGCTTACCTGAATTGAATTGTTTTTTCAAAACACACATACCTTTTCTTCTTTGAAAACAGAAGCATTTTCTTCATCTTCTGAAGGCGTTTTAGATGGAGATTTTGCTTTCGTTTTCTTGACAAAAGTTTTGTGTCTTTCCTGAAGACTGGACTTAAGATAGTCAAAGACATGAGAATCCAATTTGTTACTGGGTGTCCGATTCCTTAAGACACTTTCTTTGGACTGCGTTATAAGACAAGTACCAGTTGAAGTTGCTGTCTCCCCAAGGCTTTTACAACGGAAAGGCATGGCTATCTTTTCTTTAGAAAAAGTTTTCAACTCTTCTGGTGTTTTTATAGTAGAAGATAAATCATATTCCTGTTCTTCATAGGTTATTTGAGAAATCCTCATAGACAAAGGGAACTTTTTCACCGGGGCTGAATGGCAAAGGTTCCTTCGGTTTGATCGCCCTTTATCCCCATTAGTATATAATATGCCATGCATTTGGTGCATAGATCCAGAATTCTTTTTCTTCATCATATTTTATCCTTGAACAGAACTGAATCAGAATGTTTCTCTATGTCGAGAGGAAAATGAGCTGCATCTTTAGTTCAGATGTAATATCCCGAACCTTAATATAAAGCGATGTTTCGTATTCTTGATTTCCAAATAAACTTTTATTGACTTTCAATTTAAAAGCAGACAACATGTAACCCTGGACCCTATTGTTAAGCATGATAGATTGGACAAAAGGCTTGATGTGCAGATGTTTTTAAAGCATTGCAATTCTCGTCGTGGATTTAAATAGCTAAAGCTTCATTAGGCACTATCAAACGCCATCTATATTAGCTAGCCACCCTCTATTTAAAGGGTTTTCAAAAGGAAAACATATTTATGTGTGAATTTGGGCGAGATTTCAATAAGGGAAATCTTTTTAGAGGAATACATTAGCATATTTAATGTTTTAATACACTATCTGCTTGATAATAAATCTTATATATACGATTTCCATCATCCACTATATTATATATATCCGTTACAGCAAAATTTTGTCATATCATCTCCTATTCAAGCACATTTCTGTTATTAATGAAATTTTCAGATGTAATGTACTTTTTTTAATCACGTTTTTCTACAGATATTTTTCTGCACAATGAATGCACAATACAGTATTTCAAACGTGAAAAATTTATGGGATAGCTAGTTCATTAACTCTAGTTTCAAATGTTAAAAAAAAAAACCTCTGAGATTGAATTTCATATTTCTTTTTTTACACAACCTTTTGTCAAAAGCATGGATTGAGTGAATCGAATGGCATGACGTAAAGATTTAAGATCAGAAATGAATATTTAATGTCACAAGGAAACGAAAACATTGAATAGGGTCTACATTGATTTAAATATACAAACATACAAACAGCAATGCTGCTCGAAGTTAATATCCCGCAAAGAGGGGAAAAACACTTAAAGAATAATTAACGTAAAATAACATTTAGATAAAAACACTGAATAAAAAGGTATCTTATAGTATCTTATTTTTCAAAAGGACAATAGAAATTAAGTTGAAATGTGTTTGTTAAAACATGATGTTTATTTCTTATGCAAGTTTCAATTTTTCACTTTTCAAATTTAAGAAAATGATTTTCACGTAAATATGACGCTAAGTTCATCATGGGCTTAAGAATGTATGTGAAAATAGAAAGAGTTCTCTATCTTCATCTATACTTATTCTACCAGTGTTTTTTTGTTTTGAAGTGGGGTTTTTTACGTCTTCAAAAATTTTTGTTCAACGAAAAGGCATATACTAAAGCATTCTTAAATGAAAAAAATAATTTGTTATCATTGTTATGAAGATCTTATCGGTTAAAAGAGCTTGGTTATAATTAAAGGAATATTTTTATGTTTTGTGTGAGGTATTGGTGGTGTGTAAATCACACAGACATGTCACGTTAGTTTATTTCATGAAACCAGCTAGTGCTACCTGAAAAAAATACGCCGTATTTCTGCATGTACGAGGGTTGATCCAAAAGTTCGTGGAATTTCTTCATATTTTATTCATTTTTAAGTGAAATTGGTTGAAAATTACAATTGAGAATATAGACACATGTTGAATATTTTAAATAAAAAAACATTTCAAATATTTATGATAGTAACTCTATGGGAGTTACCATAGAAACGGTTGTTTGGAAATGCGGGGGAGACAATAACGCGTGTATTATCATTTTAATTTTTAATACATGAAATGAGAATAAAACAGCCATATGTGATATATCAAACGAAAATTATGTCATTATTACGACTGCTTGATCTTTTATAAATCTTTGTGTGAGAATTTTACTGATTTTACTGGATATTTAGTTTATTAATTGATAATTTATTGTTCGTCTTTCAGTTGTTAGACAACGTCAAATTTCGGTCAAATCATAAATTTTGTGAAATCCTTGGATCACTCTAGCTTTAAACGCGTATATTATTGACATAGGCTGGGAAAAATGTATTTAGTTACTGGTTTTCCAGTGGCATAGGAAATTTAAGAAAAATAAAACTTCCATGGATGTTGTTAAAAGGTGTGATCGCCTTTTGGGGGCTCTGTTTTAAGTGCTTTTCCTCCTCGACAAACTGAAAGCGTTAATAGACGTTGTCGGCTGACGTACTGTTCTTGACATTGTTACTGAAATTGGAACATCATATGGAAAGATGGGGAGTATTTTGAAATATGAGTGAAAAATGAAAATAAGTCGGTGCGAGACGATGCTCAGGCTTTCCTTGAGGTAAAAAAGTGAAGAAAAAGGTAGATTCTGTAGAATTACTTAGTCGAATTGGACATTAGGGTGAGATGCATCTATAACGTGACGTGTCTTATCTAACTTGACGTTACGTCCAAGTCTCCCCCGGGTTTCACAACTATCCATTTTCAGAAAGCTCGTGTGACCTTATTGGTAATTGAAAAGTAGTGAAATTTTCCAGTACTGTTTCGTTATGACTCTATATTATAAATATGCCTGTTGTTTGCTATCATCAAATCACGATAAAATTTTATAAAGAAATTCCACGAACCTTTGGATCAACCCTCGTATTTTTGTACGCGTGAAAATACACGAAAATGACTTTCAAAATCAATTTCACAGTTGGCTTAGTGATAAACACAGCAAATTTATTTATTCATTTGTTGTGAAATTTTCGAATACTTTGGATGTATCATGGAATATTTTATTTTTTATTATTATTAATGAAAGGTGGGAAAGTAAAAACATGTATATCAACTTTTAATGACCAATATATGCATATCTTATCTGTCAAAGCCATTTATGGAATAGATTGAATAATTTTTCGGGTAGTACATTGATAAACTGAGTGGGGGACAGTTTCTAAACGTAATTAAAATGCTAAAAATTGTCACCGCTAAGTTTATACTAGTTATCCTTAGGTACCTATAATAATTCATTCGATATAAATTGATTTTCAGCATTAAGTATAAAAGAGAAAGACAAGAAAAAAGGCCTTTATAAAAGACCTTTCAATTCTACTATTTTCAGTTGTAACACCAGGCGTTGTTATCACCTCACAGCGGAGTTTGTATGTGAGGGTGTGTTAAGAAGCGTGTGTATGAGGGAGAGAGAGAGTGTGTGTGAGGGTGTGTGTGTGTGTGTATGTTAGTTTTACCTGTACAAATTCGAAGAGACGTAATTTGCATCGTGATCGATTTCGAATAATGCCTAGATTTATAGTTCGCTCATTGCGAGAGGGCGGTGGTTGCTCCGCTTTGTGGTGCCTTTGTTGTTACTTTTTTAGATAAGATAAGCTAAGATAATATTTATCTAAAGTCGGGTACATCAACAAAGAACATTAGCTCTGAAGAGCTATTTTCCGACTACATAATAATGTTACATAAAATACAACAATCATACATAATAAACAAGAAACAGTTTTTAAATATTACATCGATATCACAGTAATAAAATATCACTATTCCTCCGTGGTGCTTTACAATGACATATTATTCACCACATTAAAACTGACAAACCTAAAATAACTTAAACCCTGTTTACTAGTTTCTAAAAAATAAAATTAGCGACAGGCACAGCAATTACAACAATTTCCGTACCAACTATTTATGTTGGATTTAAACTGGTTAAAAGAAGTAATATTTCTAAAAGATTCTGGTAAAGAATTTTTTGCAGACTCATATCTAAAAGACTTCAACCCATATGTTGTTGATCTTGTTTTTGGTAAAACAGCAGTTTTTGTGTATCTAAAAGAATAAGGTGTTTCTTTAATATGAATAAAATTTTGCAGGTTTTGCTTGTTTAAAATCTTAAAACATTCTATGGCCAATGTTCTAATACGCCTGAGTTTGAGGCATGGTAATTTTGATTTGTCCAGAAGATAACTATACGAATTTTTGTAGTCATCATAAACAAACCGCAGTGCTCTTTCCTGTATTTTTTCCATTTTTCTTGTTTCTCGTTCACCACAAAAATGCCAAACTAATGGGCAGTAGTTGAAGTTTGACATGATAAATGTATGATAAATAGTTAGTTTTCCTAATTTGGTCAGGTGTATCCCTATTCTTTTAAGTACATTTAATTGTTGTGAAGCTTTTTTACAAATGTTTGAAATATGAGAGCTAAACTTAAGCTCAAAATCTATAGTAACACCAAGTAATTTTACTTCGTTTTCCGGATGAATCATATTACCATCAATTTCAAAAGAAATGTTTTCCTGTTTAGTTTTCTTTCCAAGACATATAGCTTGAAATTTATCGGGATTTGCTTGCATTTGATTATCTCCAAACCACTTAACTAAGTTCGAACAATTTGATTCCAAAGTATTTTTTAATAATGTAATATCGTCACTTGAGTTTGAGAGAGTGTTATCATCGGCATAGTTGTAGAGATCACAATCTGACACAAAATGAAAAATATCATTGATAAAAATATTAAAAATAACAGGACCAAGTATTGAACCCTGTGGAACACCTTTGTACAAGTCTAAAAAATCGCTACAAACTTCCCCCAGTTTTACACACTGTTTTCGATTGCTTAAATAGCTTGAGATAAGACTAGTAGCTGCATTTGTAAAACCGTATGCATTAAGTTTTGCTAAAACTAGATCATGTGGAATACAATCAAATGCTTTAGATAAATCCATCATAATTGCTGCTGTATATTTTTTATGATCAAGGGCATACTTCCAATCCTCAACAATCTTTAGCAACACACTCTGACAACCATACCCTGGTCTAAAAGCTGATAAAATATCATTAAAATGGCAATTGAAAAAATCAGACAATTGACTATGAATAACCCTTTCAAAAATCTTTGACAATGTAGGTAAAATGCTAACTGGTCTATATTTCCTTTTTCCAAAATACTTTGCTTCTTGTGAAGTGGAACCACTTGTGCAATTTTCATACGATCTGGAAAAACATTTTTAGAAAAACAAAAATTTACAATATTGGTCACAGGGTTCAATATATGTTCATGGCTAAGTTTAACAATTTTAGCCGAAATACCATCAATTCCAGTAGCTTTTTTCAAGTCCAATCTGTTAATGCATTTACTTACAAAGTCATTGTCTACAGGGTGAAAAGAAAATGATTCAACAGCATCCTTATCTTTAATACTCTCACAGATTTTTACAATGCTAGGATGTTCACTATTGACATCAACACAAAATACGTTCTAAACACGAACATTTTTAAAACGATGTTGGCTTTACGGATAAATTCATGTAAAAAGAATTTAAACAATCGTCATTTCTAAAATCACTTTAATTTCTGGGCTTTTTTCAGTTAATCAAATCATGACAAAGATCCTGCGGCGGATCCGACAGTTCGACGGGGGATGCTGA